ATGGCCACCCCTATGATGAACATGATGTGGCCACCTATGTGATTCAGAGGACACTTTGCTCTCCCCCACAAGAAGGTTCCAGCCAACGGAAGCGGATCTTCCATGCAAAGTGTCGTGTTGGTAGTCAGATATGTAGCCTCATCATAAATAGTTGCAGCTGCGTAAATTTGGTTTCCAAGAAGCTAGTTGAGGAACTTCAACTTCCAGCAGAGAGTCATCCCACTCCTTATCAAATTGAGAGAGTTGAAAGAGGTCCAAAATGGACGGTGAACCAACGTTGCAAAGTTCCTCTTCCTAGGGGGAAGTTTTACTCTGACCATGTATTCTGTGATATTGTTGAAATGAATGTTTGTTAGGTGCTCTTGGGACGTCCCTGGCAATATGACATGGACGCAACACACAGGGGTCGAGATAATACCTACCTGTTTCGGTGGCAGAATAAAAACATAATCATCGCACCGCTGGGAAGTCCACAGCTTACAACTAAAGTGGAAGGGCAAGTTTTCTTATCGGTGTCGGAGTCAATCAATACCTTTGGTTCTGATGTGAAGAATTGCGAATGCGTTTATGGTCTGGTTATCAAACCTGATTATGGAGAAGCCACAGTGCCCGAATCTATTCATAGTATATTGGCTGAATTTCCCCAGATCGTTTTCGAGCCCACTCACTTACCACCGTTGCGAGATATTCAACATCACATCGATCTTGTTCCTGGTGCTCGATTGCCCAATCTTCCTCATTAAAGACTCAATCCCGAGGAAGCAAGAATACTTTAGGAGAAGGTTGAAGCATCACTAAAGATTGGGCATATTCGGGAAAGCTTGAGTCCATGTGTTGTCCCAACATTACTAGTGCTAAAGAAGGGGAACCAATGGCGAATGTGTGTGGACAACAGAGCCATCAATCGAATCACAGTGCAATATCGGTTTCCCATTCCTCGATTGGATGACATGCTGGACCAGTTGTGGGGTTCAGTGGTTTTCACAAAGCTCGACTTGACAAGTGGATATCACCAAATTCGCATCCGACCGGGAGATGAGTGGAAGACAGCCTTCAAGACCAAAGAGGGGTTATACGAGTGGCTTGTAATTCCCTTTGGCCTCTCCAACGCACCAAGCATGTTCATGCGGCTGATGAATCAAGTGCTTAAACCTTTCCTCAAAAAGTTTGTAGTTGTGTATTTTGACGACATCTTAATTTACAGTAGTAACAAAGAGGTTCATAAGGACCATTTGCGTCAAGTTTTGTCTGCACTCCATGACAATGAGTTGTATATCAACCTCAAGAAGTGTCATTTCATGATGGAACAAGTCTTGTTCTTGGGTTACATAATCGGTAAGGATGGAGTTCGGATGGATCCCCAGAAGGTTCAAGCTATTATTGACTGGCCGGCTCCTTCAACCGTCATCGAGGTACGAAGCTTCCATGGATTGGCCACATTTTATCGGCGTTTTGTCCGTAATTTTAGTAGTATTGTTGCTCCCATCGCTGATTGCTTGAAGCAATCTCATCCCTTACAATGGATGTCTGCTGCTGCTCGTGCTTTTGACGAGATCAAACACTGTCTCACCTCTGTCCCAGTTCTCGCCTTACCAGACTTCGATAAGGTGTTCGAGGTAGAATGTGATGCATGTGGAACAGGAGTCGGTGGAGTCTTGTCGCAAGAGGGGCGTCCAATAGCTTATTTCAGTGAGAAGCTCAATGAAGCAAGAATCAACTCGCCAACTTATGACCAAGAGCTCTTTGTTGTGTTCAGGGACTTCAAAAATTGGGAGCATTACTTGCTGCCAAAAGAATTTTTCGTTTACACCGATCGTCAGACCTTGATACACTTTCGAACTCAATGTGATTCGAAGAACAAGCTTCACATTTGTTGGGCATCATACTTTAGCCTGTTCAATTATGTGATCAAACACAAATAAGGTTCTTCAAACAAGGTGGCTGATGCTTTGATTTGACGAGGAAGTATTCTTCTTACTACTAGCCATGAAGTTGTTGGGTTCAACTTCTTTCTGGAACTCTATGTCGACGATCCCGATTTTGGTGTCATTTGGTCTAGGTACTTGGCAAAGCAGCCGCTTGGAGAATTTACCGTGCAAAAAGGTTATCTCTTCAAAAGTACTCGGCTGTGTATTCCTCACACTTCATTGCGGGAGAAATTTGTACGGGAAATCCATCCGGGGAAGCTCCAAGGCCATTTGGGGTGTGATAAGACCATTGCTCGATTGGAAGAACAGTATTACTGGCCGCAATTAAAAAGAGATGCTGGTCGGATTGTTCGTCAATGTTCCATTTGTCAAACTCAGAAAGGTCAACTTCAGAATACTGGATTATACATGCCGTTGACCATTCCTTATCAGCCTTGGGAAGACTTGTCGATGGATTTCGTCTTGGGATTACCTCATACTCAATTTGGGGCTGATTCCATCTTTGTTGTAGTAGATCGTTTCTCCAAAATGGCCCATTTTATCCATGCAAGCAGACCAACAATGCACCTCACATTGCCAAGTTGTTCTTCCAAGAAATAGTTCGTCTTCATGGGCTTCCTCGATCCATCACTTCCGATCGAGATCCCAAGTTCCTGGCTGTATTTTGGTCCACTTTCTGGAAGCGTTTTGGAACTGAACTGAAATTTAGCAGCACTGCTCATCCATCCACAAACCGATGGCCAGACTGAAGTGGTGAACCGGACCTTGGGCAATTTGTTACATTGTTTGTGTGCATAAAATCACCATCAATGGGACTTTGCCTTGGCACTAGCAGAGTTCGCGTACAACAACGCTCCCCATCGAGCCACCGGGATGTCTCCGTTTACGGTCGTTTATCGCCGCACTCCTGCAACCACTCTTGATCTCATCAAGCTTCCCACCGGGTTGAAGAAGAGTGAAGTTGCTGATTTGTTTGCCCAGTCTCATGTGGAATTGTGGATACCATTGGCTAAGTGAAGCAGAAGTTAGAGCAAGCCACTGCTCGCTACAAACTTGCTGCTGATCATCATCATCGTGCTAAGACTTATCAAGTGGGCGACTTGGTGATGGTCTATCTACGCAAATAGCGTGGTGGCAGCTAGTGTAAGCTAGACCCAAGGAAGATTGGTCCGTTCAAGGGTTAATTGCATGGTTGGTCACTGAGATTACAATAAACATTCATGTTTGGTCATTGGAAATATTTAAATCCAATCTTGGTCACTCAAATTAGTTAAATGGTTCAAGTTTGGTCACTCTCCGTTACCTTCCGTCAATCTCCGCTAACTCCGTCAATTTTTTGCTGACGTGGCTAACAGAAATGCCTAGTCACTCAATTTTAATCCGAAAAAATTAAAATTCAACCTACCACATCATTAAAAAATTTCACATCATATAACCACAAGCTAACCCATAAACCAACCTGTGAACCAACCCCCTCTCTCTTCCCCTTTACCCTCTCTCTCTCTCTCTATCTGCGTTTCGTCTTCCTCCTCCCCAAGAACTTCAACAACAACCCCTACCAGCCAAATCCAACTCTAACCCCCCCACCTTTCTGAACACCAAGAAAATGAAATTCGAAATTGAAAGCGCAGCCGCTGAACCAACAAACTACACCAACCCCCGCGAGCTAGCTCCAATATGATTATGTTCCTCGCCGACCAAGTAGCAGCGGCAGCGATGTCAGCCCACACTCCACGTTGTGTATCAAATCGAAGAACCATAGCGAAAGATAGAGCGACCGACACGCTATTGGAGAGAGAAGAGATGGAAAGAGGATAAGAAAATGAGATTCAGATTAATTAGATCTGGAGCTCCGAGTTTTCCCCTCACCATAAGTCCATCTCTGTCGGTTGATGCTACCTGTGGTAGCGCCAGATTCGGGGACGAGGATGTTGGATCGACTTTGAATTGGGACCGACCTAAACTACCAGGGGTTTGGGCCTCCCATTGATGGTCTCTAAAGTTCGGCCGGAGCAGCGACGTCGAGAGGACTGAAGGGCGGACAGAAGAATCTGGGGAGGTGGAGTAGATGACGAAGGCTGCGATGGGTCGACGACCTTCCTCATCCTCGCCGGTCGACGGCGAGATCCAGACTTGCCCGGCCTTCGCCATTCATCATCGCCTATCTTCATCATACTCGACCGGAGATTGGTTGGGAGTAGAGGAGAGAGAGATGCATAATGGAGAGAGGGACAGGCGGAGAGGAGAGAGAGAGGGTGGAGGCGGTCGGAATCGGAATATGGGTTGTGTATAGGTTTAATTTGGGTTGGTTAATGGGTTGGATTGGAATTTTGATGATGTGGCGGGTCGGATATAAATATTTTGGGTTAAAATAGGCTGATTGGACGATTCTGTTAGCCATGTTAGCAAAAAAACTAACACCGTTAACGGAGACTAACGGAGAGTGACCAAACATGACATGTTTTAGTAAACTTAGTGACCAAGATTGGATTTAAATATTTCCAGTGACCAAACATGAACGTTTTTTGTAATCTCAGTGACCAACCTTGCAATTAACCCGTCCTTTCAAGGTTACCCGAAAGATTAATGATAATGCTTATGTCCTTGACCTTCCCGCACATATGCGCATTTCCAGCACTTTCAACGTTGCAGATCTGTATCCCTACTACTCTGCTGATCAATTCGAGGCGGCTTGAGCACAAGTGGAAGGGAATAATGCAACCGTTATATCCTATATTAATAAGTTGCATCTCTTAACGAGATAGTTATATTACTTGGGAGAATAATCTCTTAATGAGATGTATATCTCTTCAAAGTTCAAAGTGAGTGAAGGGGTGTGTCCTTTCATTTCACCAACTGTACGTTTCTTGTTTCTTCCTTATTTGCCTGATAATTAGGCAGGACAGGAAGCCAACGGAATGAGAACAGAGAAGAATACCATAATAAAATTCCTCAATAACGTTTGTGATCTTTGGATTTCTACTCTCTCGTCCGTTCGTACGAAAACGAACTTACTTCTATTGCTTTCGTTCTACATCAGCCAAAAAGGATACAACTTTTGGGAATTAGATGCATTGGATTGGTCATATGTGACAAACTCGAGAAGCAAAAGTTGCTTTCCTCCACCCCAAAAAAAAAAAAAAAAAAATTGATGTGTACAGTGCATAGTATCAGTATGTGCATTTCTCTGTAAGGTAACCCTTTTCTGCCTTACAAGTGACATGGCTCAACATTCTTGTTACGGAAGAAAACTGTTTTCCTTCTCTTATTTCATTTATTATACGAAACTCAATTGCTTGACCAAAGCCGGCGGCAATGCGATGGACAGATGGTCAGCCTGGTCTTGCCTGCGAATAGGGTCTTCCCTCTCGGCCGCCTGGATATGCTCCCTCGCCCGTGGTGGCGAGCGCGGCGGGGAAGCGTAGAGCACCGAGACGTCTATTATCTGCCGCCGCGCGGTTTCGTGGTCTTGGGATATTCTTTGCGCGCGAAAGGCAGTTAGGTACAGCCCGCCGGCTAGGAGCACGGTGAAGAGGGAGAACACTCCGGCCGCGGCAAACACTCCTTCCCTGATCACCAGGCAGCTCTGTTTTGGGGTAGCCCAGTTCTTCAGGTGACCCGATTCCACGCTCAGTCCGATCAGCAACAGGATTTCCGCCACCGCGAAGCATACCCTGCATCGAGCGGAGGAACATCCAGGTTAAAAGGTTTTAACTGTGTAATCAAATTGGATGCAGAACTCAGGTATTTGAGACAAGTAAAAAGTAGGACATATACATACCAAGTGCTGATGAAAAAGGCACCAGCCTGCCATGTAACATCCTTGGAAGGGCCATAGTTAGGGTCCCAAGCGAGCAGAGCCGGCGGCGGGGCTTTGCTCGCTGCGAACAACAGGTAAGTGTGCTCCACTACCATGGCCACCGCGAGTCCGATGAACGCAATAGCACCACACATCAACGGCGTCTCTCCACTACCACTATACACGCACAGGTGATCATCCCATGTATCCTGTTCACGCACAAAACAAAACAAAAAACCCACCACCACCACAGAAAGAAATGAGACGAAAACTCGATCATGGTGTGAGGCGGCAGCCAGACTCGGTTGTTCAAAAGGGGATCCTGGTTTTTAACCTGAGAACGGGAGGCTTCAGCAATGAGACAGAGAGCGAAGCAGAGGAGTCCACAGAGGACCGTGAGGAGCACGAGGGATATGGCAGTTCTGCTGCCCAAATCCGTGCTTCCTGGGGACGGCGCGAGATCTTCATGGGTGACTGCTCTTCTTCCTTCAGCCATGGCTGCCAACAGTTTTCAACTCAAAGCTCAAAGCTCCATAAGAAGAGGAGGAAGAAGGGGGACTTGGCCACAGATGCAAAACCCATCCATGGAAAAAAGGCAAGGGAAGAGGGGGAACTGCAGAATTGCTTGGAGCAAAGGTTGCTTAAAGTCCACAGATTCCTTTCTCTCAGGGAAGGCAGGCCGCAGGGGGCTTTATCAGAAGAAACCTGCAAAAAAACAAAAGTTTTCCTTTCACACTGTATTACGTACTTGGGCCGTTAAATGAAGAAGATAACAAACTATAGTCAATACTCAATAGCCTGGGAAACAGGGTGGGCTGCTAAATGGCTGACACGTGTAACTGACCTAACTTGTAGTTCATCCCTCTTATGTCTTCTCTGTCTTAAAAGGTTCGTTTAATCAGTTATTCCTTCGCCATTATCTTTGGTTTAAAGTTGCATTTTTGGTACCTAATCCCACCCCAAACCCCGACTGTAAAGCTCAAAGCACACGATTTTGACAGGATTAGGACTCGGCAAAAAGGGTGGCTGGAAGGATGATCAGATGCTTGATCGTCATCATTCTTTTTGGACTAATGCATGAGGGCAACGCAAAGCTTGAATTAAAGTAATTGCAGGAATGGACGGATCCTCAATAATATCAGTAGTTAGTAAAAGCCAAAAAGTGAGACAACGGACGGCAAATTATTCTATGGATGCACTGATACAGCAGAATATGATTCTTGATGCTATCCCACAGTCCAAAAGCTAGAGGAGTTTGTAAGTCAATGTGGAGTAAAATGGAAATGCAATCTTGAAGTTTCTCTAGAGCAGATTTGGACAGTAAAGCATTACCCAGTTTCTGAGACTTAAAAAAAGTCAGAGGTAGGGTAGGCATGGTCTGGACTAGTCCGAAGATCGGATCGGTACCGGAATCAAATCGAAGAATGGAAACCGACTTCAATCTGGTTTTAGGAGAAACCCAAAAGGGTTGAGCTGGGATCAGACCCCCTGGCTCCCTGTTCTATCCCTTCTATCCAGATTAGGTCTGTACCACCTGATCAGAACCTTCAGAAGTATAAAAATCTAGGAGGCTCTCACAAGTCACAACTGTGCATATAGACATTTCTGCACAAGGTTGACCTTAGTGTGTGTGTGTGTGCAGGCACCTGTCCATTATGCTGTGTCCCTTGTGCACAAAATCTATAGAAAAGAAGAAGAAAAAAGATTGTGCTAGTCACGTTCAACTACCCACTGGATGCTATGGTTCCTTTCATGGTGATTTAACAGTTATGCAAACCGTAGAATTGAATTTTTATATTTCTTTTAAAGTTGTGATATAGATGAATTTTGGCATCCAAGGAACAAGTTTCAATCTCGTCCAAGAACACTTGGGTAGATAATTCCCTAGCTACATATTTCGGTTGCGTAACACACAAGATAAGGGAAACTTTTCTATGAAGTAAGAATTTTCACAAAGCTTTGATTCTCTATGCACCCCAAAAGTACGGGGTATCCTGTCCGTCTATGCCCCCCACTCGTGGCCAACATATATCCCCTTCTGGTACTCTATCCTATTGGTTTCATAACAACCATTCTCATAAACCTATAAATCTCAAGAGAGTGAGCAGTACCTTTTTATCAGCAAATCCCGATAACCTTCAGTCCACCTTCTCTGTGGTTGATAGAAAATGTCTTCTTCCGACACAGGCTATGCTGGAGATCAGGAGGAGGCCTGCACCAGCAACAAAGAAGCAAGTCTTGCAACAGACAAAAAACCTAACACAAAAGGCACAGGAAACTCTGGTTTTGAGAGAGCACTTGCCCAGAGAGCGCTCTTTCGATCACATAATCACAGGGTGAAGGGGAGAAAATTTGCCAACAATATTGCCAGGACGTTGCCAGGTAGGCTAAGCAAGGTATCTTTGGCAGACGATTCAGCAGACCGATAAGGTATACTGTAGCAATGTAGCTTTGTAAACATTTCTGTTGCCGCAAAACAAGAGGTCATGATATGAAGTACAAAGATAAAAGCATCAAGATCTCAAGGATGTGTACTTCAGATGAGGATGGTAAGATACTTCAATGGCCATATACATTTCAGCGTCAAAATTTCAGTTACACCTTAAGAACTTTGCTATGGAGGGAAAGGGGCCAAACATTAGAGAATTTCACTATCAGTCTTTAAGACAAATCAGCAAGAAGAAACCTCTACTATTCGGATCAAAAAGAAACTCACTCGGTAAGGTGGGAGTCCCCCTGAAAATTTAAAGTTAGGAGGTGAGAATCAACAAGAACAATCAAGAGTAGTAATTCAAGAATCCACCACTATAAGTAACCGAGTTCTCTGCCATTCAGATGATCACCACCCATTACTGGACATTCTGATGCATCGTGTCCAAACTGCCCACAACAAGGCTCCAAGCAATGCCTTCGTTTTCTGGATAGTTCAAACCCATCTCTAGCTCTTCTCTCCTTCAGCTTTCCCAGAGCAATAGAATCATGATGGTGGGTCCCAATCGTAAACGTGTGAACGATTCCATCTGCATCTTCTACTTCAGGTATAATCAGTGAATCAGAAGGACAACTATAAACATTCTCTTCTTCATGCCCACCGCGAGGAAGCTCCTTGATACGTGATAATACTGACGAAATCTGTTCGCAAGCAACTTCGAGTCGCTCTTCTGTCTCGCTTGACTCGGCCACAAGTTCTGAGGTCATCGACTGTAGATAATGAATCCTTTCGGAGTGCACTGTTGAAGACATAGCATTAACACGCCATCGAATTGGCAGGTATTGATCTGGTATGTGAAAACAGTTACTTGATGACAGGACACGTAGGACATGCCTACAGAGAAACCCGGAGAAATCAAACTGATTACAGCTGCAGCTGATGTGCTCTTGACAAGGATCGAAGATCACTTTGAAACCACCGTTCAATTCAGTGTGATGCCTTACTTGGAAACAGTACTCGTCAAGTGGGAAAGATGCGTACTGTGGAGCTAATACAAGCTCATCTTGGAGTTTTTGGAAAGCATATGGAGTAAGAACAGCAGCTGCATGTGATTCTATTGGCGAACCCGTTTTGAGGAAAACCTTCTGCACCTTTCGATGCATGTCCGGCTTATCAATAGAAGCGACAACATCAAATGCCTGCAAAGAAGCATTAGACAGGCTTAGTTTAAGTCAGTTTAAGTAAAGAATCGTAAAGAGATGGAATAAGAAATGACACACACCCTCTCTACGAAGCGATCGAGTTGAGCCTGTGCACTGAGAAACCGTTGAATGAAGGCATTGATCGACTCTGACTGGCAGGTACTTGTCAATCCAGCAAAGAAGTGATGTCTCAAGAAGGGCAAAGCCCAAAACATACGCAGAGCATGCAGGCTGGAAATGTGCTTATTTGTGTGAAGCCTATACTTACTGACCATTTCCCTCCATCCTTCCTCAAAATCTTCCACAAATTCAAGGTTGAAGAGCCTAATAAACTCAGCTTTCCATTCATCATAACATGGTCCTAATAACACAGAAAACCAATCTGAGAACTTTGCCACGATGTGCCAGATGCAGAAGGCATGTCTGGTCTCTGGCATCTCGATTGCAATAGTTTCCTTCAACCACACATTCTGGTCTGTCAAAATCGTCTGTGGAGCCTTTCCATTCATAAAGCTTCTAAAGGCCTGCAACAACATAATGAGCGTAAGAAAATGATACAATTGAAAAGCTAGCCTAAGAACTAAGATATCCTCATTCCTTACCTTTAATGCCCAAGAGAAGGACTGCACATTCTCATCACGCAAAAGCACACAACTGAAGAAACTGATCATGCCATGATTGTCTATACCAAGCCAAATGCCAAGCAGCATGTCATAAGCCTCCACCCGGTGAGTAGTATCGAAAACTACTGCATCTCCAAACGCCTCGTACAACTGGATCGACGAAGGATAAGACCAAGCTATATGCTCTAACCTATTGTTACCATCTATCTTGAACTCATATTTGAAGCTATGATCTTCATCCTTCATTCTCTTACACATGCCAAGAAGATCAACAACATCATTGTCACGGTTCACATTTCTGAACGACTGCAAAAGGTTCCTCACATCAACTTCAGTAAACGGCAAACAACCAAGCTTCACGCCTTTCTCCAGCTCCAACAACCTTAACATCTGACGAACCGACATCCCAGCTTTGGCAAACATACAAATCCTGCTCTTGTCATCGGGAGATATGGCGCAGTAAGCTGGAAGAAGAGAGAGCTCGTTAGATTTCAAGAGTTCGTGATTGTGGATATTGCTGAAACCTGTAACTCGCCATTCAGGGACGTCGAAATCTGCCCGTTTGACAACGCGCATATAGGCTTGGCACCCGCAGCGCAGCGACTTGCGGTTGCGCTGCATCTTCCCTCCGCCTCCGCTGCCGCCACCGCTCTCCTCCAAGTGCTTCGTCTGAGGATAACCACCGCGGTGGCAGGTGAAATCTCGCCGGGTGACTCCCCTGCCGACGCCGTCTTTGCCGCGGGTGCGGTGGCGGCGAATCGAGAACCCGGACTGCTTGGCGAAGCTGCAGTAGAACTCGTAAGCGGCGTCCTGAGAGACGAATCGCTGGCCGACGAACGGCACGAGATTCACCGATGTCTGGCAGGACAGTATCATATCGTCGTCGTGCGTCTCCTCCCTCATTGCGCCCGTATCTTCTTGAGACACGTCGGTTCCGTTCTCCGACGACTCAATCAGGCTCGTCCCCTCCGACATTTCTTCGAGAACCTATCAAAGCAAAATCAGACAGCGATCTCACTCACTCACTCCACTGAGAATCGGCGATTCAAGTCCGGAATCAGAGACACCAGCTCAATGCTCGTCAAAATTTCCAAGATCGGTTCATTCCGAAAACCCTAGAAATCTCAGTCGATCGAGTAAACGGGAAACAGAAGAGCGTAAACGAATTTCAATGTTCGGTGAGGAACCGGAGTTTCAGCTGGAGGCCATAGAAAGAGCACGGAGGATTATGCATTCTCTGAACCAGAAGCATCCACTTGCCACCGAGCTCCGGCGAAAAGGAGACGTAGGGGAGACTGTATCCAACGATCTGTAACGAACTCGGATTTTTCGGAAGGAATTAAAAATGGAGGAAGGACAAAATAGAGAAGAAGAAGAAAAAGCAAACGGGAAATGGCGGGGAATGGAGGGAGAGGATGGAGCAGAGCGCATCCGGTGGAGAACGATAACTGTGGGGAGAAGAGAAGAGCTATCTTGCGCTGCGTGGATAGAAGAAGCAGCCGGCGCGTACAGATGGGCGGGGTTTTTTTTTTTTTTTTGACAACATTCATCATTCATTTCATTCCAAACCCAAACAAGAGGAGCACAACGATTACAATAATGGAGCGACAATGTCGGCAACAAGAAACCATTCAGGAGGAAGGAGATCAAGGCGAGAGTTCCTAGCGATCCAATCAGCAAGCTTATTGAGTCGACGAGGGACAAACTCCACTGTAATCCAAGGAGGAACACAGAGAATGGAAACCACACGAGCAAGAGGTGCCCGACACTGCCAGGGCCAAAGACTCGGATCCTGCCTCAACGCATTCGTCAACCTCTGACAATCGGATCGGACACACGTTGGTACAGGGTCCTGGGCCGCCCAGATAACTGCATTAAGCATCGCAAACGCTTCCGCTTGTATCGGAGAAGAACAAAAGAAACGCTCAGCCTTCCCGTCAATAACCTGACCGTGGGAGTTTGCAATAGCAATCCCATAAGCCGCCACCTGTGCATCAGAAACAAAGGAACCATCACAATGCACAACCTTACAGAAAGGACCAGGCGGTGATAAGGTCGAAGATCGAGAACTCCCAGGCTGAGAAGACAATCCAGCTGGACATGAGGAGATATGAGCTGAGGATCCGATCCTAGCTTCTTGGACATTTAACATATCACGTTCGGCTAAAATTGCCACAGAGGGCGGAGAGAACGCCCGACTCTCAAATACCCACCCATTTCGAGCAATCCAGATATTCCACAGTGAGCACACTATCCTGGTAATCTGGCCAACAGGGGCTCTATCCTTGAATCCAAAGAACCAATCCACAAAGCAAGAGTCAGCCTCAGGCAGCACATTCTGCAACCCAAGTTGAGTCCAAGTCTGAAGAGCCTTTGGGCATTGAAAGAAACAATGCATAATCGTTTCCTCATGGTCCTCACAGATTGGGCACAATGGGTTAGGGGCACACTTGCGGCCAAACAGCCTCGCTCGTGTTGAAATAGCATTTTTACCACATTTCCAAATGAAGAAACGAAGCTTAGGAGGCAACTTGAGACCCCATAACCACTTCCAATCGTCTCTGTTAGGTCGAGCCGAGGGGGTCAAGTCATTAACCACAGTTGAATCACGACTCTCTCGAAACATCCGATAGGCAGACTTAACACTGTAGCAACCTGTCTCCGTACACCGCCAAATCCAGCTGTCCTTAGTAGTACAGGGACCCACCGGAACCCGGGCAATAGCCTGAGCAATCTCCTCAGGCACCAGATTACGAATGGCATCCATTTTCCAGCTACAAGAGTCACGGTCAATCCAATCACTAACTTTTGATGGCTCCAAGCCCAAGTGAGACAAGTTGAAACACTGAATGGAGGGCAGCCAAGGGTCACAATGGAACCAAGAATCCTCCCCAGACATAATACCTCTTACCAAACCACTCTTCATCTTCTCCTTTGCCTCACACAACCCATTCCAAATCCAGGAGCTCTTTCGCCCCTTCGTAGCCGAGAAAAGCTCATCATTTGGGAAATAAAGCCCTTTCAGTAGCTTAGCCCACAAGGCGTCAGGGTTATCAAACAGTCTCCAAACCTGCTTTCCAATGAGCGCCAGGTTAAAGAGATGGAAATTCTTGAAGCCCAATCCTCCTTCTTCTTTAGGTTTTTCCAACTCTCTCGCATTGCACCAATGGATGGCTCTTTTCCTCATTGAACCCGACCAGAAGAATCGTTTCAGGATTGATTCCATTTTATTCGTTAGGTTCAAAGGCAGCAAGAAAACACTCATGATATAGGTTGGTAAAGCTTGAATAACTGCTTTCAGCAGTACTTCTTTCCCTCCGGGAGACAACAAAAGGCTCTTCCAAGACTCACCTTTCTTTTCCATTCGTTCCAGCAGGAACCTGAAAGTTTCTTTTTTTGATCCACCCCATTCAGTTGGAACCCCCAAGTATTTGTCGTGACAAACAGTTGGCGGAAACCCAAACTTACTGCTCACCAGCCCACGGATAGCTTGGGGAGTATTTTTGCTAAAGAAAATTGACGACTTAGATGCATTGATTTCCTGCCCCGTAGTGTTACCATACATGTTAATGATATCCAGAATCCTATCCGCTTCCAAAACACTTGCCTTACCGAAGATGACCGTGTCATCCGCAAACAGACAGTGTGAAATTCTTGGGCAATCCTGATTGAGCTTGACCCCTCGGATTTCACCCTTCTCAATAAGGAGAGACAGAGCATTGGACATAAGGATAAACAAGAACGGAGAAATGGGATCACCTTGCCGGATGCCCCTAGACGGAAGGAAAGGATCCGAGGGGCTTCCATTAAGAAGAATAGAAAACTTGACTGTCCTGATACATTCACGAATCCAACCCCTCCATTTTTCCGAGAAGCCATAGGCCAGCAGAATAGAATCAAGACCATCCCAATCCACTAAATCATAAGCTTTCCTCATATCCAGCTTCACCATCATATCCCAGTCACCAGTTCGGCGATTTTTGAAGTTATGCAGCATTTCATGAACAATAATGACATTGTCCTGGATAAGCCTCCCACCTGTGAAAGCAGCTTGCATCTCTGAGACTAAACCCGGGAGCCACTTCTTCATTCGACTCGCCAGGATCTTGGAGATAATCTTATATCTGAAGTTGCAGCAGCTAATCGGGCGGAATTGAGAAATCGTCTCCGGAGCTAGAACCTTGGGTATTAGAGCAATATGAGGGCGGGGGGTTCGTGTCGAGTGGTGGGCTGCACTTTGGTTCAATATCATGTTTCGGGATCGAAGTTTGGTACCAGTATATAGGATATACCGAATATCATACTAAATTTATCTATATTTGATATTATCGAATACACGTATTATTTCTTGAAATTGATATTGAATTTCAAATGTAATTCGGTATTAGCGATTACGGGATTGAGATTGGTATATACCGAAATACCGATCAATATCGAAATATAAACTAGTTTGTATTTTATCCTCTCAACTAGACTCTCTCATTCACTACTACACGGCTCTCAACCACCAAGAGTGTCATTTAATTATACATAGATCATTTCATCTTTGTTTCACAACTCAACAGTCACCATCCAACTCAATTTTGACTTTCCAATTTAAGTTACTCTCATCTCTCATCTGATAACTTGTTATTTTCATAACACTAAAAAGCAAACACTAGTATTAGTCGTCTCTCAACCTTCAATTCGTCAAATTAAAGATTACGAATGACAAGAACTTGAGATGCCACCTCTCCTTCATTCTCCTTATCCATATCCTAACTTTAGGCAAACTCAAGGCTCTTTGCTTAGTCTCTTGACCCTAAATTTAACAATCAAATCTCATTTATATATTTAATTATTTATTTCAAATGGAATTAATTTCGTATTCGATAATACTGATTGGGATACCGAAGTCCCGATTGTGATACCAGAATATTTAGAGATTGGGATACCGAAATTATCTAGGGATTGAAATTAAGATTGACTTTCGGGTGTAATTCGGTATTTGGTATTGGAATACCGATACCGTACCGATTTTCACCCCTAATCATGGTTGTCAAATCGGTTGGTTGAAGGACACAATCCGACTCAATATGAGGTGGTAGTCAAAACCGGTTAAAATTAGCTAACACTAGCAACCTGAAAGCCTAACTAGTATGATCAAATTTCTTATTTTATTTTATTTTTTATTTTTATGAATGGTTGTATCAAAATAAACAAGTACAAGACAAAAATCACTTGTCACCAAAAGTAAATATAATATTAAATTTTACTTACTACATTCTTACGACCGAAATAGAGCAGCAACTTATGAAGACCAAAAGACAGTAATCTCCTCCATGCTTTTCATAATACGTATCTCTCCAAATATTGTTAACCAAGGCATTCCAGAATAGTCTTCCATTTTTTGCAGCAACAATACTTCTAGAGAACTGTGATATATCCCACTGAAGCTTTGTATGCCAACAGTTTGAAGGTGGACAAGATGTAAAAGCTGAGAACAATCCAGAGTAATGCATCTTATATCGAGTATATTATGCGAAAAAACGAGGATGAGACTCAACTTCATGATCACAAAAGATTTACGCATAAACAAATTCTTGTGTACCCTATGCTTCCATCCTCATTTTTTGTTTGTTTGTTTGTTGATAATGGTGAGAATAACATTAGAAAAAGGAAACCAAAGGTAGCGTACAACAACACGAGAGGTGCAAGGCGACAAAAGACAAATAGAAAAACAGAATGAAAGAAAGAGTGCGGGGAGCTAAGTCAGCCAGGAGACTCCTACAACCCCAAAACCGAAAAAACAACAGGAACCAGGACCTCAACAAAAGCCCAGAAGGCTCGGGCAACAAAAACCTCAAACACTGCGCACACCAAAGGCACAATCCAAGATAGAAACAACAGTCTGAAAAACAAGAACAAGATGCTAACTCCGGTGTCCGAGATGCTCTCAAAGCCACTCAAATCTCAAAGCTTAGTAGAAGAGACAACAAAGGCTGGAGCAAAGAGATCAAAGCCTCCTGAGATTCTCGTTCAACCATTGAATACAAGATCTCTTATCAGCCTTCACATGAGCGCAAATCCATTCCAAAGCAGCCCTAACGATCTTGCAGGCCACCATTATTGCCAAATTACTGTTGTCGTTGAAGATCCGTTGATTACGTTCAAGCCAAGTATGCCAACCGACCGCATGAAGAATGCAACACATGAACCAAGATTCAACGCTTCCGGGTTCACGAACAGGCCAATGTTGGATAACAGAGCGAATGTCTCCCAAAGGTTGCACCACTAGTTCGCAAACCTTGATGATCCTACTCCAAACTTCGCGAACAAACGAGCACTCCACAAACATATGATTAGCAGATTTTCCCTGATTTTTGCAAAGATCACAACGATTGACCAGAGTCAAACCCCTGTTCTTCAACTTGTCCAAGGTGTTGAGCTTCATATGAA